TCATCTCTTTCAATTTGTGGAGTGTAAATGTCACTTATTGCTTGTTTTTGTTGCTTCCTTTGTATTATCATAAACTTATTAAAGAGATTGCACTGATCAAAAATGGCTTCTTAAAAATCAAAGTCTAATTTTGTTATGGCCAATATACTGTATAGTCCAGTTTATTTTAGACTTCTGGGTGTCACAAGTCTCCTGTATTAATGGGAAACACTGAATAATATTCCATTTGTTGCTGGACTGCAATCAAATCAAAATAGCAATTGGAAGAGGAGCAATTAGCAAATCACAAAGACGACTGCAATTAGGTAATGGAAACTCCTCTGCAAATAACAAAATGTCCTGTCTTGTTATACCTCTACAAAGCTCAGAGCAGAGATAGAGACTCATTTCCATTTGCAGTCCCTGGGTACAGGCCGTAACAGCAGGTTAACCGTGCAGAGCTAATTTTTAAATGGCCCATGTAGCATTTAAAGGTGCACTTTTTTTTTGACATTTCAAGAGGAGGGTCCACCACCTGCTTGTCTCCAAATGTTGTTGCTTTGTCTAGAATGTTCCACAGTATAGATTAAACCTATCCATCACAAGGGAGACAAGCAGACCACAGCACTGCGCTACATTACTTTTCAGATCTATGGAGAGTCACCCTATAAAATATAATAAAACATAAATAAAACACCTGTAATGAATAAATGCAAGACTGATATGTTTAATGTCATACCATGGAACATTCCAGGCAAAGCAATAATATTTCTGGAGTAGTAGGAAGTGGACCTACCACCAGAAAATTTGCGCGTTGCACCTTTTTTAAAGCTACCATTTGTAAGTTTATTTAATTTTTGTTCACCAGTAGATGGCAGATTTGAAAACTGTCTCCCAATTCAACAGGAGAGGGTTGGCCAATCTAATTACATATAGCAGCTTTAAATTGTTATAAAAAACAAACAAACAACAACAACAGTGGAAGAAATGGTAATTACAATCGTTTCATGTTAATTGTATCAAACTGTTGAATTTTTGGATATATATCCATCCATCCATCCATTTTCTTTCGCTTATCCGGGGCCGGGTCACGGGGGCAACAGTCTAAGCAGGGACTACCAAACTTCCTTCACTCCAGACACCTCCAGCTCCTTCGGGATAACCCCAAGGCTTTCCCACACCAGGATGGAATATATATATTTAAAGGCAAATAAAATAATGCTTTGAAATGGCCAATCATGTTTGCGCTTTTGGTGCCTCTAGGTCTAAGTGGACTTGTTATTTTCATGCTAGTCAACTGGTCCAATCCGATCCACTTTATTTCAGTAGCACATTTCATAAACAAAGAGTGCTGCACAATCTGCAAAATCTACAATTTAATAAAATAAAAACCTAATCAAAACAATGGTGTAAAAACAAAGAAATAAAACCGTGAAGTAGACCCATTAGAATAAATACATAAAAAAATCAATAAAAGAAAACAATGAAAGACGACACGCTTTTAAAAGCCAGAGAATAAAAGTGGGTCTGAAGGCGAGACTTAAGGACCATAGACTATATATAAATGGACATAGCTCACTAGCTGCCGCATTCTAAATAGGAAGTGTTCATGGGGGTGCTTCTGGCTCCATTGACTCTGGCTTCAATTGACTTTACATTAAAAAAAAAAAAAAATGTCACTCCCCTGTCAGCAGGGTATCACCAGGTTTGAATACCTCAAATTTAAGACTTTTTAAAGACCTTTTTAAGACCACTTTAAATAAAAATTAAGACCAACATTGCACCCATTATGTGGGCGAAAAACACCAGATCCAATTCCAATAATGACCAACAAACTACTGCATCTAGAATCTAAGAGCCACTGTGGATTAAACTGACACTTCCCCATGATCCATCCAGCGTCTTCCTCCACTCTACTGTAGTGGAGGAAGGACTGTACTGTTTGTACCAAAGTATTGTTTGCACATACTCCAAATTAGACGTTCATTCACATTACATGATTTCATGTTTGTTGTTGTTGTTTTTTCCCTCCATTTAACATCGCACTGCAGCCTGATTGAGTTTACAAAAAAAATAAAAAAAATAGTCTAATGAAATTTAAGACTTCTGTGGAAAAAAATGAGACTTGGACAACAACATTTAAGACCTTAATTTAAGAACAGGCTACCCTGGTCTGTAACTGCTGTAGTGAGACTCGTCATTTTGGTCTTAAAATGTTCTTATTAACTCGCTCTACATGATCCTGGTGTTTTTATTTCGCCATTTGGTATGTAAATAAATCCTGATATGGACCTGGCATCGTGAACTTCATTTGACTGGTCACACTCCTTTTGTACACTTCTTTATACAGTCTGTGGTCAGGACTACAGCTGGGTATTATTAAGAAGTTACCGATGCCGATATGATACCTCAATACATAGGCCTCGATGTGATATGTTCGATACATATGTTTCGATACAGTGCACTTTCGATTCAGTATGATTCGATACGATATATTTCAAATCAATTCGATACATGTCAGTGAAAAACAAAGGCTAAGTCATGGTTGTGATACTAAAAGTCCACTAAGTTTGTGCAAAGTTAATTTGAAAAACACCCATTTTACTCAAAACAGTGAAAATGTCAACACAATTGTAGCTTTTACATTAAATAATTTAGTAAAATATACATAAAATTACTCTTGGCGATATATCGATACAGCAGCCCACGATATTCATAATGTATCATCACTTTAAACGATACGATATATCACTATATTTCAGTATTTTTTGCACACCCAGTCAGGACTCCATTGACAGATTTGTACAGATCAAAGGAGAACTCAGGACTCAAAACGTACATCTTTAATTTCTGTTATTAAAAGAAATCTCTCATCTAGCTTGCATAGAATTTCCCAGAAGTGAGACTGACGCATTTTACTCCATTTTCCTCCTGTTTGACAATCTGAACAGTACAACCTTCATTCTCTGTCGATGTGCCCCACTTAAGTACTCCTTCATCAAGCGTTTTATTTTACCCTTCATACAAAATGCATTAGGCCTTTGATACCTTTTTTAGTGAAGTCTAAATTAATAGCAAAGTCAGAGGAAGGGTTTGAATATTGTGCTTAAATATTGGCTTCCTCTGGGTATGGGCTGTTACTGCCTGTGTACCGAAGCGCTTGGAGTCTGCCTCGTTGCTACAACATGCCTAGGGTTTCATTAGCATACATTACCATATTACATCTGGGGAAGTTGTTATGTGTTTGAGATACACATTAGCATTTGTAAGATTGAGAAAAAGTTCAGCCTTGTGTTATGACCTAAAATGTGTCCTTAGCTGGCTGCTATATTTTGACTATACCCAAGAAAGGTGTGTAATTATTTTTAACCAGGATAAAATGAATGGAGTGAATTAAATGAAAGCCCTTTTCAGCCTTGGACATTTGTAAATGAATTTGTTGTTTATTAATATAGCAGTTATCTGTAACAATGTTGCTATGCTACAAAAATTTTAAACTCGATTTCAATACTAAGGAATATACTCAGTACTCAATATAATAGGGATAATATTGATACTATGCCTTTAATAAATTGGTATCAATAATAACCGACATCGATGTAAGGACTGGTATCTAATTCTCTCAAAATACAGTTAATTTATTACAAAATTTATCCTATTGTGTTATGTAACTATTATGTGTCCTGCGTAGAGCTGGGGATCATTAAGAAGTTGCCGATACAATACATACCTCTGTACATAGGCCATGATATGATACATACCTCCATACAGTGCACTTTTGATTCAATATGATATATTTAAAATCAGTTCGATATGGTTCAATAAAAAAAATAAAGGCTCTTGTGCAAAGTTAATATGAAACACGGACACTGTAGTCATCAAAACAGTGAATGTCAAATGTGTAGCATAAACGAGTTTCCTTCCACTAAACAAGCAGCAAAACTGTAGCTCTGTAACAAAATAATTTTGTAAAATATACCAAAAAATCCTCTTGATGATATATTGATACAGCAGCCCTTGATATCGATACTGTTCAGTCACAATTTATCAGTATTTTTTATATTTTTACACACCCTTAAGTCTTGTTTACACAAGAACGCTTGCAGGTAAAAATGACAAAATATTTAATTGGAAGTGCCTTTCATTTAGACCATTTTTGAGGCTTAAAAATGCAAAAGTCTGAAACCACCCTACCATAGTAGAAAAGCTGACCATGCTCTGCTGTAGCATTTCCGTCTATACTGCCCAAGACGCAAAACTGATCAGATCTGCTCACGTCGGGTTCGCATTTACATCACATACATCACCACCTAGCCACCTGGCATGCATATTCAGTCGAATTCCACACACTTTTGTGTCCCTGTATGAACGCAGATTTCCTCCCAAAAATGCTCATCTAAACACGGAATAAAACGTGAAGACATTACGCCACTGTTCAGACAGTCATCATAAAACTGTAGCCCTAGTCTTGCGTGTAACTACTGAAAAGCTTTTGTATTAATTAAAGTTCAAACATCAGGTGAGATCCTGGACCAAGATCAGTCAATAAAGAGTCCAACCAGGACATTGGTGGAACCAATATCAGCACAGTTATTCGATAGCAGTTTTGGTGCATCCCTACTCGATACCGATTCCGATACCACAATGATATTAGACTAAAATAGACACATACATCGTAGTACTTTCTTTTAAATTACCGTGTAGCCTTGTATCTGTGTAATCCCTCAATCATCCATTTATGTATGTGGTTCTGAAACGGCTCAAGATCATTCAAAAATCATTCAGAAATCATTTCTGTCCTAAAGAATGTGACTTTTTTAGTATCAATACCTGCTCAAACGAGTATCTAGTTTCAATACCAGTTTTAGTATCGATTTAGTATCTTATTTTTCATACTTTTGACATCCCTTGTCTGGAAACTACCTTTTTTTTTTTTCTTGGCTAATTCAGTCAGGGTAGTTCACAGTGACCCATTTAGAAGTCCTTTGAGTTTCTAACATACTGTGTCCCGTCCTGTCCAGGCCATCCACTGTGAGGTAGGGAGGAGGAAGAGGAAGAGGCAGACGGTCCTTGGAAGTCTTCTCCTTTTCATGGATGCCAGGGTGGTCCTGCTGCACCTATGGACGGCCTGTGGTGTCCTCCTGTCCCTGGAGCTCCTGTGTTCTGACGCTGAGGTCTACACCAACACGTGGGCTGTCCAGATCAGAGGAGGGCCGGAAGAGGCAGACCGGATTGCGAACGAGCACGGATTCACCAACCTCGGCAATGTAAGTGTCCTCTCTTTATCCTTACATGTTTACATTTTCCTTGGATTAAAAAAAGGGGTTAAAAAACAATGCTACACTGCTCGATCTCTTGGACTGAATCGCTTGTCTTGTAAAGCATCTTGCCTCGTCCCATCCCTGATATGGAAGCTTCTATTTAAAGTGCCCCATCAAAAAGAATCACTGAGGCAGCTAACATGACACCTCCAGACCAGGTCAATGTTGTTTTTAAGGATTGCAAAATTAGAAAAATCTTGTTTATTGACCTTATTCCGCCCCAACCATGTTTTCTTGTGATGGCACTTTGGGTTAAGATGTAGTTCCATTAATTTTACTGGAGAATTTGAGAGGTTGTGCAGTTAAAATATGATCTAAAGTAAGTTGATTTGTGTAAAATGTTCAATCTTCTTGTGGACCAACAACTCAACAATGCACCAATCCTCTGGGAGACCTTAAAACAGCTTTGTAGTTCATATAGAAATCATTTGCTGTCAAGAAAGGTGAATAATAAATACCGTATTTTATGGGCTATTATTCGCTCTGGATTATAAGACGCACTGTCATTAACATGGTCTATTTTCAAACTTTTTTCACAAATAAACCGCACTGGACTTTAAACGAAACACAACAGTTGGATGGGTCAGTGGGACTTTGCTTGGCATGTTCACGGTGACTCTGGGCTTTGTTCAGTTGTGGCGTGTAGGGAGGGTGCTGTCTGGGACCGCTGGATTGTTGATGTGTTCGCAGTGACTCAGTTGTTCAGTTGTGGCTCAGAGTGGCACATTGGACTCGCGTTTTCAGTTCGTTCCTTCATTTCGATCCTCATCCGCGTGGAGTGACGAGTGTGGCTGCGGGTGTTTTTCACTGCATGGTCGCTGTCTGCTCTGTGCGTGTTTGTGTGCGCTGCGGGTGGTGCGGCTTTGTAGTTTACTCAAGTCGTGCTGGGACACCTGAGTGGATTTGTGTATAGGGCGCTCTGGATTGCAGGGCGCTCGGTCGTTTTTTGATTGGGTTAGAGGCTTAAGAGCGCATCTAATAGCCCGGAAAAAAAGGATATAAGTGATTTTTCTGTATTTTTGTGGGTAATTTTATCTTTATCAATTTTCATTTTTTTTAATGATACTCAAACTTGAACTAATACATTTGAAAATCATGTTTTGGCACATTTCTGTCAAACATTTAAAAAAATATTCAAGATGACTACATTTATTTTTGTCACTACGTTATAACAAGAATTTATTTTCAAGGACCGTGATGTTTTACAGGTCATCGAAAAGGCTCTCTTGATTCATCAATAAATGTGTAAAGCACATTCAGTTTTTCTTCAATGAGTTTTGGTTTCAAATACAAGCAAAATCTGTCTGCTGTTGAGTGAACTAAAATGTAATGCTGCAATGATTTGCTTGCAGAGGTTGACAGATACATTTGTCTTATCTCATAATGTCCCAATATCTTTGCATTAATCAAAACCACAAACTCCTCCTTGAAAGTGAATGACACTGAGATGAAAGAGCTCTCTTTTTTCAGTATAAAATAATTTGGTATAACATCATAAATCAAGCATTTGTTTTGCACCAGCTATCGACAGCTAATGTGATTATGTGTTGTCCTTTGACTCTGAGTGATTTTATAGAGGCCAAAGTAGTGTCTTGTGCTCTCTTGCGTCTGGAACCCTGGTTGGAGCACACTTCAGAGATCTCTTCATGTTTTGTGGTCCCATCTCCTCTCGTCTTTCACTTGAGTTGAGAGTCTCCATTTGCATGTCTCCGGTTGTGGTTGTGGTGGAGTGGTGCACACTGCCATCTGGATTAGGAGTTCGACATGTGACTCAGAGATTTGGCTTTTACCACTTTCTTCTTTCTTCTCGATCTCAGATGGAAGGTTTAAATGAAAAGCAAAAAGAAATCACAAAAGATTTCTGTTGCTGTTCTGTTGGACATGTTTCACATGTTTCTGCCATTTACTGTTGTCAGATGTAGCTTTGAAGATGCTCTATGTAACTTTTCGGGCAGAGCATCTGACTGGCACCATGATACCAAAATATAAATCTCCATGGATACGTGTAGGTGGCACCTCTAGGCCTAGTTACCATTCAGATCTTGACCAAATCTCCCTGTCAAAACCTGATCTCGTCAGATCTTAGCCCAGTATGGATGTAGTGTGTGTGTGTGGGTAATGAGCAAATGGGTCGATGGCACAAATTGGCAACCTCGCTTCCATCAGTCAGCCCCATGGCAGCTGTGGCTACAATAATAGAGTGTGAAGTGAATGAATATTGCACCAAACTGTAAAGTGACCTTGAGCATCTAGAAAATCACTATGTAAGACTAATTATTCATATTATCTGTGGAGAGGTGACCCCGCTCTGTAAGAATTTCTGTGAAAGTATTTTCTAGCTATTAAAATACTGCACTAACTAAATGAATGCACGGTGAATAAGCTTAATGCCATTCTGTAGAACATTCTTAACAAAGTAATAACCTTGAGATTAGCAGGTGTAATTTTAACTGCTGTTAATTTCCCAATCTGCACCATTTAATAAAAACTAATCCCCCAGACTTTATTAGTCATTGATCAGTTAAACAGCACTTGAACATCCAGTTCATTCACATTGTTTTATCTGAAAAGTGTAGCATTGTTCCTCTCAACAAATGATTTTAAATGTCAGTAAATCTGCTCCCCTGCTCTACTAAATAGATGAGCTCATATAAAAGGCGTATTTTTCTCTCCCTGTGTTAATGAGCGATTAAGAAGCAGAGCCACAGTTAGTGCAGAAAGAGAGTTGGCAAAATACCTGATGCCATATGGCTCCCTGCCACACTGATGCATATGGCACTGAGTGACACAGGAAAGTCTCATTCATACAGAGACACCTGAACAAGCCTCTGTGTTTGAACATGGAAATGCAATCGCTACAAATGTGTGTCAACTTGATCCTATATGATGCAAAATTGACTCTTGTGAGCTTTAAGACATGTTATAATGCTGTTACCTCATCAAAAACATACCTAGAGTTGTGTTTTGATTCATAAACACGTGTTTGAGTAACTCTCTATTAGGTTGTCTCCACATCTCCAGCTCATAATGGTCTTTTGCACCTTCTGATGTCATGTAGTGGTAGTTTTTAAGTTAGTATCTACCTTTTTACCTTTTGTTCAGTAAAGTTTGGCAACTTCAGGGCTGGTATTATTCAAATGATTCCAGTGAACGTGTATGGAGTTTTAAAACACAGTGGAGCACGTCCTCCGCATCACAAGTCGGAATGTTTTCTTTTTGAGAGAAGAACTCATCCTTAAATATTCAGGGTTTGTGTCTTAAACCCAATTCCCGGTGTGTTTTTGATGAGTACACAGCATTATAACATACTGTCGATCACAAAATAGCGCAACATGGGCCCTTTTAAATAAATACTGTATGCATGGTTCACTTTAAACATGTGAAAATCACCAAGTTTTCAAAGGGCAAGGTGATTATGAAGGAGAGATTCTAGTGCGATAAGAATGGAGATAATTGGGAACTTCTCACTGGAGATATGAGCCAAATTTGGACACATGGTGGCAGGATTGTGATGAGGCCGTGTGGGAGTGTGGAGAAAAGGCAGAAGAAGGCTAATGCAGTGTGGTATTACCAGCTGAAAATGGTGATTGCTGTAATTTTAGTATTATGCCTGCCTTCAATTAGTTTGTTGGGGTGCTGGATGTTCAGTCATTGTTTTCACTGCAGTATAAAAATAAGATGTGAATTTTTATGAATTTTGCCGTCAGTCTTGGCGTATAGCTGTTATGGGAATATGGCTTGCGTTCTTGTCATTTTAGCTGGGATCTAATTAGACTATAATGTGTTTTTACCCATAATGTGATTACAGGAGCATCATAATTCTGCTAATCATTTGTGCACGCCGCTGGTCTCAAAAGATTCACTGTGTGTTTATATGTGTGTGTGTTTGTTTTTTGGCTTTTGTGTGTGGGGGTGTGTATGTGTGGGGGTGTGTCTTTTGGCTTTTGTGTGTCTGTGTGTGTGTGTGTGTTTGGGCTTTAGTGCTATAAAGTGGGAGTTATGTTATCATGACTTCATCCTCGGCCTTGATGCTGCTGTGGAGGTGCTGTGAGGTGTGGGTGATATGAGGTCAGATTCGTGCTGCTCTGGCTGTTCCTGGTCTTTGGTTGGATATCGTAGGTTTTGCTCTGTCTGTTTGCAGCCTCGGGGACATTGTGTAAACTTAGACCTTCGCACTCACACACAACCCATTAACCCGTCTATGCAAAGGAAACTACTGTATGGCCAATAAACAAAGGTATATTAATGAACATATATTGTGCTTAAGGCTGCTACATGGTTATAATTTGCGAATTTTTAAGAGCCGTTAAACACCCTCCCGAAGCTTTACTCCGCACTTAAGCAAAATCTGAAAAATCCTCCAGAGTGGGCGGTACATGGCGGGTTTGGAGGGAGCAGGTGTGGGGGCTCTGGAGCGATGATTGACAGCCGACTGACAGCCACAACAATCAAACATGGCGTAGACCGGTGCGCTCCAGACTTTGAAACAGAGCAGACATTTGTGCCCGGATCACGCTGTTTCTGTTTTCTCCAGACACTGCGGGGCATCGCGGTGACCAGAGCCAGTGGCTGAGCTCGTCACGTAATAACCTGCATCTGACTCATTGGCGGGCAATAGTCTAACCCGAAAATCCAAATGTACTGGCTGGAGTTGATCCTAAAGAGGTGGTTACAAACACGGCTTTTGATCCAAAAGTCAGATTTTTTATTTTTTTTTCTCCAAATATGCACTAATATGTCAAAATAAGGCCAGGAAAAGGTATACATTTCTATTTTTGACCCATTTACACAGCTAATCCATACAAAAAAACGATTTTGGTTTTTAGTATCTACTGAGCCTTTACTCATTACAGGTGTTTCTATTGTTCAAAAATACAATATCTAATTCTCTCTGTGAATAGGTTTGCCTCTCCACAGATCTGACCTGTAATGTAGCCTGTAGTTGT